GTTTTCCATTCTGCTTTCTTGAATTCTGTATCATGAAGATTTCCCTATGTCTTTAACCTTCTTCAAAAACAATTTTCATTTGGCTACATATTCCATTGTATGGATGTCCTAGGATGTATGTAATCATCCTTTTAGATTTATTTTCCATTGTATATGCTAAATATCCTTATACATAAATCTTCTATTTTTTCCTTAAGGTGGGCTTTTGTAAATGGAATTACTAAATTGAAATGCAGGAGCATTTCTAAGGCTCTGTGATATGTTATCAGATTGCTTTCTGGAAAAGTGGTACAGTCTTGCCAATAAGTGCATGAGAATGGATGAGGTCTAAGACAAGAAGAATTAGAAACAGCATAGAGTTCCAGAACAGAAAGATCTTTATCTTTATCAAAAATAAGGTTTCTCAACCTCAGCACTACTGATATTTGTGCCAGAAAATTCTTTGCTGTGGGGCCTGTCCTGTAGGATATTTAGCAACATCTCTGGCCTCTACCCACTAGATGCCAATAGCTGCCCTCCCCCTACAGTTGTGACAACCAAAAATATCTCCAGACATTAAGAAATGTACCCCAGGGAGTAAAATCGCCCCTGGTTGAGAACCACTGATCCAAAGACTTAAATGTGCAATGAGGCATTTGTTTTTAAAAGTTTCTCTGGTATATACTAATGTTCTGCAGCCTGGCCTCTCAGGGTTCTTTTTCTGTGGAGTGTATATGTGCATATTGTTTGCAGAGTAAAATAGGCTGATCATTTCTTTAAGTCTGTATAAATGACTTTGTTACTCCTCAATACATATCTTTCCCTGCTGGCACTTGCCTGGGTTCCTGGTTGTAAGGGGAAATTTAACGAAAGTGATGGCACTTCCATTTGCTTTGCCCTACAAAATTTATTTGTGTTGAAATTTAATGTGGCATTTGGAAGTATCAGTCAGTATACCTACCCTTTGTCTTTGTGTTTTGAACAAGAAGAGCCTAACAGAATGAGAATGACTTTGGTTCTCTTGACTTTGTATGTAAAGAAAAGAAAAAGGAATGGACTGGGATTCTTGTTAACTGAAGTTTAAGCCTTAAAAATCCTAAGAAGCCTATTTTAAGCAGCAGGAGCTCACAGTTAAAGGTTTGTCCTTCATATCTACAGCTGGCTTTACCTCCAGTTCTTGATGGAATGAATACACCTGGGTAGAAGGCCACCCTTGTTTCTATAATATTTCAAAACATCTCGGGGTCATGAAACCCATACTCTGTTCTTGACGTAAAACTTGCTGCACCCAGATCTTCTAATAGTTCGCTTACAGTTGATGAATTTCCTTAATTCAAATAAGATAAGCTTCAGTTTACTTTGAAAAATGAAGAGCACACAAATACATTGTTAAGAACGTAAACTCACTGAAAATACTCTGTCCTTAAACAATATGAAACTCATTTAAGTCTGTCCTTCAGTAAAGACGTTAGCCTTTGATGTTCTGATGTTCGTTGTTCTTAAGTGTAAGATTTAGGTTACAAAGTTTAGTTTGACATTGACTTTCTGTACTGGCTGTTTCTTTTCTGTTTGTCCCCCTTAGGAGCGGTCTCCCAAGTGCTGGACAGCCTGGAAGAGATTCACGCACTTACAGACTGCAGTGAAAAGGACCTAGATTTTCTACACAGTGTTTTCCAGGATCAGCATCTTCATACACTACTAGATGTAAGTCTATCTTTTATTATTCTAGTTTTTTTGTAAATTGAATATTTAGCATATCTTTTTACTTTACTTGAATTCCCAGATATCCATCATAACAGTCCTTTTTCAGTTGCCTGAAGTCTTTGAGAAATGTGGAAAATCATCCATCATAGATTCATGATTGAAATAAAGTGTATACATATAATACAAATGCGATATAGCCTAGCAAGCC